AGAAAGAAAGAAAGAAAGAAAGAAAGAAAGAAAGAAAGAAAGAAAGAGAAAGAAACCCCTAGTGAGGAATTCTCTCGTGGGTGGACTTGTATATTTAATAGGATCCCACCTGGAAAACTCATCCCGGAATCCGACAGGCAGATGCTTCCTGGAGGGGAGGTAGGCTGTGGCCACCAGTGTTGAACTGGGGTTATTGTGTAAGTTGCTCTGTAACTGGTTGAAGTTTATGAGCTTTTTTTTTTCCTTCAGTGAGCTGAAAGTTGGAAATGCAGTCTATTTTTTTAAATAGTAAAATTGTGATAGAAGAAAAATTGAGAGCCTTGAAATACAAAGCATATTTAAAAAAAATCACTCTAGCAGGATTTTACTTGCACCTAATTTCTATAGTTTAGGCAAATGTATGGCTTTTTAAAATTGCACATTTTCCAGCACATTTTTCCAGGAGGGAGTTATTGAATAGGTACCCTTTGTACACCAATGGCTTCAGTTGTGCAAAATGGCAATTCATCCATGCCTGGCCACCCTGTGAGACTCTTTTCTATGCCCTCCCATAAATCTTTCTCAGGAGGTCCACCCAACGTTCTGGGGAGCCATCTTTGAATTCTCTTTATACTGCATGGAAACCAGTAGAACAAGTGGGATGTCCATTTATTATGCCCCCTCCCCAATGTGTCCAATCCATCTTCTTTTGTCATACCTGTATGTCATTTCTATTATTGTTAATACTTTAGGAATATTCTATGACAAATAAAAAATACTAGGCTCTTCCTGTATGGTGGGAATGAACTATGTTCTACCTGTAGTACTATATTTACTTTCTTATCTCAGCAGGGAAGGTTAGCCCAGTTCTGGTAAAATGTTAATTAATAACAGAGACAGAAAGAGAGAAGAAGAGAGAGAGACCTAGAGATAGTCAGAAACAGGGAGACACAGAGAGACAGAAAGAGACACAGACATAGAGAGAGAAAGAGAGAAAATAAGAGAGAGCACAGGCAGTCTGGTGACTTTCCAATATAAATACTGATAGGTTTCTTTGTTCATTTTTTTAAGATGATAAAGGGTTGTCATTTATAAGAGAATGCTCTGTTTGGTCCCAGAGGGCAGAATAAGGAGCAAAGGGTAAAAGCTGCAGAGTTTAATTTAACTTAAATATTAGGGAAATTGTCCTAACAATTAGAGATGTCCTAAGGAGGAGTGCGATGCTGTGGAAAGTAGTGAGTTGCCCTTTTCTGGAGGTGTTTTGTCAGAGCCAGGATGACAGCTTGGCAAGCATGATATAGAAGGAATTGTTGTTCAGTTATGGGTTGGACTAGTGTACCTTTGAGGTCTGTTCCAACTCAGAGTCTGTGATTCTGGGAATACATTTTTTTTTTAAAATATTGTTTATCTCTGCTGTTATTATAGACTTCTCATGATGCAAGTCTTTTAAACAGTACAGTGGTTATAATCTAGTTCAGCAACAAAAATATTTCCTTGTGGAGAACTTTCTGCTGAATATTGAATGTGCCCTGGTCCCTCAATGTAAAACCGTGGGGTTTTTGTGTGTATGGTGTGTGTGGGTGTGGGTGGGTGTGTGTGTGTGTGTGTGTGTGTGTGTGTATGTGTGTGTGTTTAATTGCAGTGATTGATAGAACTCTGCTAGCTTATTTTAATTTGGTTATCACAATAATAAAAAATAATGGGAACAGGATATACGTTTTAAAATATACTGATAACATACAAGCCTTTAGGAAGAAGAGTTTTGAATCAACTAATTCTAATCTAGAGAGACATCCTTATAGGATTCTAGATCTGGAGCTGGAAGAGTCCTCAAAGGCCATCTAGATAACTCCCTCATCATACAGACGAGGAAAATGAGGCCTAGGGAGGTAAAATGTATCCACCAGTTAACTGAAGAACTATTTGAAATATTCTGTCTGCTCAACTTTAAGGATTTTATCTTTGGAATTTGCCTTGTTCAATAAGTGATTCTACTATATCAGGCCTGACTGTTGCCTAAGTCTGTACTACCCATACTTTCAAGAGATTCAACATGAAATAACTTGAACATTCACCAGACCCTCTGGGATTCCACATGTTCTCCATTGTTCTAAAGTGATCATAGTGAATGTGTAACATGGCATTGTTCAGGAAGCAGGTGGCTTATCATATCTCTCGGAGGAATGTGTAAGAGCTTTAATACATTTTATCTTCTCGCCATTTTTTTTTTCCCATACCCGAAGGCGGAGCTGGGTTGGTGAGTCTTTCTTCTCTGCCATTGGCTCAAGCCCCCACTGACTGTGTTTGCCCCATTTTGAGTTGCCAGGGACCAGCACTCCAGTTCTATTTAACCACTTAACAAATAGTGTTAGCTTTTACAAAGAGGTATTTAATTCAAAGATATAACAAAAATATTATTTTGAAATACTTTCCCCCAATACCTTGGGGGGGGGGGTAACCAACCCTACAGAAGAATTGGTCTCATTGTTCCTTCATAGTATTAGTTTTACCAAATTTGAGTTCAAATCCCCACTGAACTAGCCTCCCAGATTCTTGTTCCTCAATATGTTCCCTACTCTACTGTTTGAAATACCCAGTCTTAATTCCTGGACTCTTCAGTCTTCAGTCTTCAGTCTTCCTGGACTCTTAAGCTCTTATGTTGGAAACTCCATTCTCTGCACCTGGAACTGAAAATGATGAAAGTGCCAAAATCCCAAGGCCACTTCTTGGGACCACTTGGCCTCATGGTCACACAGTTTCATCTGCTGTTAGTGGTATTCTTTACCCCCAGAAGGGAATGCAGAAAAAATCCTCAGCTGCCCTGGGAGGCAGTTTACTGCCATTTCAGCTCTGCAGCCCATGGAAAAAGGCCACACCAAAGCATGGTAGGCCAATATAGAATGTCCACATATGCACCAGTTCTTCTATCCCCAAGAAGCAAGTCTCCTGTAATGTCATTTTAGGTGACCTAGGCATGCAGCAAACCCTCATTAAAAATGTTAAAGGTGATACATTTGCTGTTTGATTTACTGCTTCATCATCATTATCAACAAGTATTTATCAATCATTTACTATGTGTCAGGCAGTACCTGGAATACAAAGGAAGACAAAAACATGGTTCCTGACCTCAAGGAGCTCACGTTCTAATTCTAACCATCTGTTCAAAAAAAAAATTGCTATCCAGTTAAACAGGCTAATACGACAGTTGGGTCTGAGAAAGCTAATGGAGTAGGGAATAACTTCTTCCTAAACCACTGAGCTATTTCTGTATCTGTGTATATATCTTTCAGACAAGACAATTAGTGCTCAAGTTCTAATCATAAGTTACTGGAAGTGACTTACATAAGACTGACAAGACTGCAGTGTTTATTGAAGGATACACAGTCAGAATGAGGTAGCCCCATGGTCTGTTCCCTCTAGCCCAAAAGTGGCAGCCCCATTTATCAAAGCTGGCTTGCAGCTTCTTGCACTCCAAGGTAGCTGGGAGCACCACTGATATCAAATATGTAATAGCAGCGTATAGGACACTGTCCCAGTGCTGAAGTAGCCTGAGCTCTCCAACTCTACCCCATCTTGTAAAAGAGAAATTTTCATATCTCAAAGCAAGGTTGGATGGAAAAATACTGGCAATGCCCTTGAGTGGTCTCCTGTAGTGCAGGCCACAGCACATAGGGAGGCAGGGAGCTAGGAGAAACTAGTGACAGGAAAGAGGCAGCTTATCATATCTCTAGGAGGAATGTGCAAGAGCTGAGGATGAACGCCACATGGCAGCCACCATGGTGATTACGAACTTAGGCCTTTACAAAACAGTCTATGAATATATATATGGGTACTTTATGTATTTATACACTCATATATATTATTTATAAACGTGTATTTTCTCCTGTATCTACCATTAAAATATAAATTCCTTAAGAATAAGAACTGTGCTTGTCATATCCCCTATAGTTTTCCAAAGTGGTAGAATGGTGTCCTGTATGTAGTGAGCCTTCAATAGATGTTGACTGCTCTTTCCCTATAGATCAAAGTTTCACTTTTTATTTTATTTATTTATTTTTGTCTAGGGCTCCTTTGTCAGTCTAGTGAAGCCTATGGACCCCTTCTCAGAATAATATTCTTAAATGGTTAAAAAAAAATACATAAGATAATGAAGGAAACCAGTTATTCTTTTAAGTTACCAAAATTTTAAAAAAAAATCGTAGACTTCCTCAAAGTCTATCCATAGTATTTATGGACATCAGGTTATGAACCCCTAGTATAGATAATATATCTATATTATTTTTAATGTATAATATAAGCAGGTAGGTGGTACAATAGATAGAGTTCAAGACTTAGAATCAGGAAGTCCTGTGTTCAAATCAATTCTCAGACACTTATTA